ATCCTCTAACCATTGAGAACACCGGCCAGGGCTAAGTGAGATTTTTTAAAAAAAAAACATTCTTTTTCTTGTACTGAGTCTTCAAAATCTGAGTATATTTTACACACTCGGCACGTCTCCATCCAGACCAGCCAGGGCTGTCCGACAGCCACGTGAGGCTCCTGGCCTTCGTTCAGAGGCTCCAGTGAGCGCCTTTGCTGGCCTTTGGGGGAACTCTGAGCTGTATTTACTCACAACACTTCTGACACCGACTGTGGGGGATTTCCACACCAGCCACTTCTCCAATTTTCTGGGCACCAGCTAGGAGTCCAACAATTCAGTTCCGCTCGGACGCTATCTACCTGGAGCTTGCCTCAGACCCCACAGGTCAAGGGCTCAATCCCACATGACTGACCCCCTTCGCCGGCCACAAGTCCTGGGCCTCCTGAACTTCTGACCAACCTGCTGAGTTGGGAGTACAGACCTGCTCAAGTTCCACAATTTGCTAGAACAGCGCACAGAACTCAGCAAAGTGCTATATTTACTATTACACGTTTGTTATAAAGGAAGAGGTGCCTGGGCTGAGGTATGGGGAAGGCGCAAGAAGCTCCCCACTCTCTCCCGCTCCTCCACATGTTCCTGTTGTTTAGGGTTTTTTCCAAAGGAGGTCTTGTCACACAACTGATTGAATCATTGACCTCTGGCGATGGAACTCAATCTCCCGCCACTCTTCCCTCCCTGGAGGTCAGGGCTGTGCTGAAGGCTTTCATCACCTCTAATCACACCTTGGCCTTCTGAGGACCTCATCCTGAAGCTACCCAGGGCCCCAGCCATCTAACTCATTACCACACCAGACACCACTCTCACTCCAAGCGCTTTAGGAGCTGTATGCTAGGACACTGTCTGATCATACTGCAGGACCTGACATCCCAGCCTGCCCTCTGCCCTGTCTCAGTCCTCACATCACCGTGAGGAGAGCTGGACGCAGAGGACACAAGGCTCCAAGAGCTCCAGTAACTTCTCCAAGCTCAGGGGAGTAGGACCTCCAGCCCAGGTTTGTCTGCATCCCGACTTTACCAGAATTCCCATTTCACTCCCGGTCTGGAAACGTGCACGGGGGCAGGGTTGCAAAGGGACAAGTGAACCACTCTGCTCCCACGCAGGAATCCTGCTACCTTGCTACCCTCCAAAGGGCTGGTCCACAAACACCTGACAGGGGACATTATTCCACTTCAGCTAACGGCCTGACCTGTGCCTAGAATTCTCAACAGCGCGCGATACCTGCCCAGGTGGACAGGGGCAGCTCTGTGGCAGGGCAGGTGCAGAGAATCGACTTTCTAAACAGGCAGAGCCTCAGTCTTGGTCAGCTTGTCACTCCCTTCCCTGCCCCTGGACGCACGGGGTGGAAGGGCAGGGTTGAGCAGGGGCTGCTACGAGACTGGTCCTCACCTGGCGAGACTGGTCCTCACCTGGCGGGGCGGCAGCTGATCCGGGCTGCCCTTCCACCCTTCCAGAGCCGGAGGGGCAAGAAAGGGAACAAATAACGCAGAGGGATCTTCTCCCAGGCAGGACATCACTCCCTTGCTTCAGCGTCACTCGCCAGCCAGGCTGCAGTCCGCGGGGCCAGGCGCTACCCCTACACCGGCTGACCGCCCTCCCGGCCGTTCCTCCCACGGGACTCCCCAACCACGGCCGCCCCCATCCGCCGCCCCGTGCGCAGCGTTCTCCCGGAGCCCAGCCCGCACTCACATCGTCCATAAGCAGGAGTAGGATGTTGGGTGGCTGCGGGGTGCCACTGGCCCCCAGCACCGCTACACTAATCACCTGCAGCAGCCGCCACCGC